CCTTGCCACTTCCTATTTTACCTCTTCCCTGTGTTGTGGGGGCCGACCTCCTCTATTTTTTCTTTATAGGTTAGAAACTCGGGTCGACGTTGAGATGATAACAAGCAACTTCAGACAAACAAGTCAATGTATTCCTTAAGAATTGAGACTAATCTTATACGTTTCTTCTCCGTTAATGAAGATCCTAATAGGAAATACTTTTTGATGGTTTCATCTAAGGGCACCTAAGTTAGGTCTTCAATGGTACGCTCGGTCAGCTCAGTTTGCTGGTCTTCAACAGTCGACCACTCAGAATTTGATTGATATTCCTAGTCTCTTGAGTTCCCTCTTGTACTTTGGCGTCCCTTTTTCCCTTAATCGAGGCCAGGAGACAGGTTCGTGAACTAACTTGGTCCCCTTAAATGTCAATTACCCCATCATTTGTTGAGAAATTAAGCATTTGTTGGTAATTCGAAAGGACCGCTCTTATCTCATATAGCCAGGTACGCCCCATGATGACGTTATATGCCGAATTAGTGTCCACCACTGGAAACTTGGTCGTCATCACAATCGGTCCTATATAGACTGGAAAGGTGATTTTCCCTTTTGTGAAAACCATCTTTCCACTGAACCCCACCAAAGGGGTATTTGCTACCTTGAGGTGTTCCTCCTTAAGGCCTAGTTTGTGGAAGAGGCCTAGGTAAATGATTTCAGAGGAACTCCCTTGGTTAATCAACACCCGTCTAACATCAAAGTTTGTTATTCAGATTGTAAGCACGAGTGCGTCATTAAACAGGTGGTGTCCCCTATCAAATCTTGTTCACAAAAACTAATCCTCCTAGTTACTTCAAGCATCTTTAGTTTTTTTGTTCCCAATCCCAAGGCTTTCCCTTAGTTGAAAAACTTCTCTAGCTTGAGTAGCCAGTGTGATATATGCCCTGACCGAGTTGTTTGTGGCCATGTGTGGATTGTGGTTGCATGTATTACATCAATAATCCCATGGGAATGGGCCAATCATGAGGGGTGCCTACAACACCACTGTTTCATTCTTACTTCCACCCTCCACAAATTTTGAAAGGTGTCTAGCTTGGACCAATTCCTTTAAGTGCTGCAAAGAACAACAGTTCTCCGTTAGGTGTCCAACATCGCGATGGTAGGAGCACCTGAAGTTCAAGTTTCTTTTGGCTGGATAGCCTCCCAATTTGTTCGACAATTTTAAATAGGGTTTTCCCTTTATTTGGGGGAGGATTCTGTAGATTGGTTCCTTAAACATAGTGCTAACCCCCATGTACGAGGATTTGGAGGGAAACCCCACTTTTTCCTTACCGTTTGCCCTTTCTCAGGTTTGCAATCCTGACTAGTCCTTACTAAACTACTTATTCCCGCCCTGTTCTCTACTTAAATCTCTTTCGAGGTTATCATCAACCTTAGCGTACTTCTCAACCCTGGCTATGAGTTCCTCCATGTCCATTGTCGGTCGTCTTATAAGCGACTAATAGAGCACATTTTCCTTTGGCAATCCAATTTTGAGGGATGCCACAAAAATTTTGGGATTGCACGCCTCCACCTCATTTATTATTTTCCCCCGATGTGCATACTCTCGTAGTGTTTCTCTAGTTCTTGTTTTCAATGTCAGTAGCGGCCCTATATCCTTAGGTTGCCGACTACTAGTAATGAACCAAGCCGTAAATTGCTTGACAAGTTGGCCCCAGCTATCTACTGAGTCCCTAGCAAGCTCGTTGAACCATTTCATGGTCGATTCCCCTAGGCTACTTGGAAATATAGTACATAACAAGGGATCATTCTTCTTGTACACCTTCATTAACTGTCTATAATGATGAATATGAGCAATTGGATTCATATTCTCATCATACAATTTGAAGTTCGGGACAATAAACTTACTCAAGATCCTCACTCGTTCTATCCACCTAGTAAATGAAGAGACCTTTGTTCCAACGACATATTCCCCCTATGGCCCTTCGCACCAAGTCTCTTGTCAATTTCTACTTGGGCATCCTTAACCGACTGTCGAGCTCTTCAGTGATGAAGCGCTTCTATTCTTCCTCGTGGTTTTCAGTTCAATGTGACTTTCTTCGATATCCATCTTCTAGCGAGTCTTCACCATTCCTCTGCCTCTGACGGTTTGGCATCCTTTGTTGTCACCTTCGAGAGTGTCGAACATTTTCATCGGCGTCTCCTCTTTCACTAACCCTCCTGAGCTTTTGGTTTAACTCTTTTTTTTCATGTTTTAAGGCTTTCTTTCTTGCGTTTTGATTGCTTGAACATCTCGTCATGTGTATCTAACTAATCTTGTAGATATTGGACCAATTTCGTCATGGCGGGATTATCCCCCTCGGCACGACGGGGCTCTCTCTACGAACTATCTTTCTGATTTTCATTATTGTCTGGTTTGAAATTGGTTGAGGAAATCTTATCCCTGTATTGTTCATCCTGGCTTTCATAAATGTCTATCCTGATGTCGCTATCAGAGGGAAACGACACACAATAGTTTGGATTTGAGTCTTCTTGCTGAGCACTGGAACCTACTAGTGATCTAATTGTACTTTTCAATCTTGCCATTACTTTGTGTTCGGAAAGTTTCCCACAGACGGCACCAAATGTAGGAGGATAAAAATCACCATACCTTCTAAGCTTTATGAAGAAAAGCTATCCCTCCTTGAAAGTGCTACCTGCAAAAAGGAACAAATTATCGAGAATCGAAGTGCTTCGATACTTAAGTCAGTAAATGTATGTAAAAAAGATTCAAATTACCGCTTGTCAAGTATCCTTACTGTTTTATATAGACTTTACTTTGCTTCTAGGATTCCCTTTATTGGTGTGGGAGATGACACATCTCCCTTCATTCGGGATTGTTTGTTGGGAATTACAAAAATCTCTCTAACGCTCTCTTAATCACAGCTCTTCTGAGTCATTGACTATGCCTAACTGTTGTACCAAAATTCCTCAATTATAGGCGATTATTCTGTTGTTTGGTTCATGTTAAGCCTTCAAGCTATGTTGTGCACACTTGCTCAGTAGTATGAACTAAGTTGTTGCAATTTGGTTCGATATTTCCCAAGCTGCTAATACTTGTGCCCCACATGATTTATCCCTTAATAATCACGTGTGTATTCACCTGCCTATACACATGGCATAATTTTATGCCCATTCACCATGCATTTCTTATGATTGATTTCACTTATACCTTGATTCATTTATTAATCATTTTGTATCGAGTTTATTCGTTTATAAAACAAGTGACTTAATAAAGACTCAAAATCTTAAATTTAATATTATGTTAACGAATCGTGTCATATTTTGACATCTTTACTTTTTATTTTTCATCCCTTCTACTAAATAGTAAAGAGAAAATGAAGGACTTCTCCCTAAAAAGATGTATCACTCCATTTTTTAACTCTTTATTCACCCTATTAAACACGCCTTTACCGGTGAAGCGTAACTCACATGCCATTTTAATATAAACGTTTACGATTGTACTCTAAGTCAAAGCATAAAACATGCCTAAATTATTATAGTAATAAAGAATATGTCCAACATTCCGAATAAGGCGCCAAAATAAGCATTGTGATAGTGGGTTCTGGGATTAACAACGACTTAAAAACGAAGCCTTGATGGATCCTCAATGGTAATAAAATAAAATAAAAACAGAGATAGTAATTAAAGGGAATATCCATTAAAGAGGCACAAGAATCCACAACACTGTGCCCGCCAGCTGGATAAAAATACCACGCTCTTCTGAGGCACGTGCGTTTCGAACAAAATACCGTCGGCAAGTGGAATTACACTCTTCTGCGGCACGTTATTATTTAAATTTTTATTGGTAAAATATTAACTCATACATAAAAATGTATATTAAATTAGAATGATATTTGTAATTTATAAGTGTTATTTTAGGACTTTATAATCAATATAAAAATTAAATAATAATTTATCTACATAAATTAATTTAATTTAATTTAATTTTTATTATTTTTATGAATAAATATTTATTTTAATGCATATAATATAATGATCGTAAAGAGACTCTTATTTTCAAATATTTTTGAATTTTATTCTCTCTTACTCCGGTTTCCGCTCCCGTTTCATATGATTTAGGTATTATCATTTGACCTGAACACAAAACTACGCGCGCATTGAAAGAGCGTGGTTAAAAGTTCCTGTAGAAGCTAAACAAAATTTATACAACCCAAAACCTAGCAAACCTTTCGGACCTTTTACCGCGTTCAAGGCAAAGCTAAAATAACCATATTGTCAACTAATAAATAGTGTGCAAAAGGCTTTGTCATGATTCACATCGCCCGTAAGATTGAGCGGCAGTCAAATTGATTTACGAATTCAAATTGATTTACAATTATTAAGAGTTTAATTTTAGAGTCTAATTAAGATATTAGTTTTAAATATTATTATTTTAATGTTTAGTTTATAGCATTCTGTCACTTTTATGTTTGGGTAATTTACAAATAATTAAACAAAAATTTATGGCTATGGATGTTTAGTTGTATCAAGAGCTCATATCCTTTTTTTGAATCAACATTTAAATCTGTACATCGATAGAATATGAACTCAATTATATGAAATTATAGATAAATTTAGAATAAATTAAAAAAAATTACCATCATATATATATATATATATATATATATATATATATATATATATATATATACACGTAGCAATTTAAATTACATATTTATAAAAAAAAAGAAAGAATAGTTAAACTTAATATAATATTTATTAAATTTTATTTGGTAGTACAAAATTCATTCTAAATTAATTATTCCTTCACACAAAACATATTTTTAGTATAGTCCTTAATTTTTGATAATTCAACCAACATATTTTTTAATATCTAATAGATTCTCTAATTTACACTTACTTTTCTTTTTTACTTCTTTTTTTTTCTCTTTTAATTTTAAATTATATAATTTAAAAAATAAAAAAATATATTATTTAAATACAAATATTTCTGATAAATATTCTACTTTTAATATTATAAAAAAATGTCACCGTATAAATGATTATGCTAGTAACATCAGATATAAACTTTACACTTATTGACACCCAGCTCATATGCAAACTCAGTGAAGCACAGCTAGCTGAACAATAAAAAATAAAGTTGCAAATCCCAATGAACAGTACGTATGTCTGTATGTCTGTCAGAGATTTTTTGACTTGTTCGGAATCTGTTCTCCATCGTCATTATCCCTACTTTTGAACGAGGACAATAATATTCAGGATCGGGTACATTTTATACTTGACTTACACAGTAACATTAATCTGTTTTAAGAATCAATATAAAAAAATCAGAGCACTGTAATATAATCTGCACCTGTGTATGGCATTTTCTTTCTTTGAAAGCTTAAACGGCCATTCTCTCTACTTCTCTACTGTTTTTCTACTGTTCACTCTCATCAACCACTGTGTAAACACCCCTCTCACTCTCTCTCTCTCTCTCTCTCTCTCTCTCTCACACACACCAGGAACATTCTCTTCCTCAACCTCGTGGGTTATTCTGATTTCCACAATATCCAACTAAATCTCAAAGCTAAAGAGTACCCAGTAAAAGATTCAAATTAGTGTCTCTCTTTACTCTCTCAGCTTCCTACCTCTCTTAAAGAAATACACTACAAACTAAGATCAGAGCTTCTCTCACTCTCTTATGGTACCCGTGAGACAACAGTGCCGCTTTGTCACTCTTTCAATCATTTTCCCTTTCGCCTCTCTCTAAAGAATACCCATTTTAAGTAGAGAGAGCTCTTAACTAAAAACCTCAACACTTAACAATGCTCACTATCTTCCTCATCCTCTTAACCTTCTTGCTACCACCCCTCAGCTACTCAACCACCACCCAAATCCACCACAACCGTAGGATCCTCCATCAACCCTTCTTCCCTCTTCATCATACCTTCCCTCCATCCACCCAACCCCAGCCCCCATACCTCTCCCCCCAACCCCAACCCCTGCAACAACCCAAATACCCATCTTCTTCCGAATCACCTCCTAACACCCCACAACTCTTCTTCCCATTTTACCCCTCCCCACCACCCCCTCCCCACCCTTCTCTCGCCACCTTCCCAGCCAACATCTCCTCTCTCATCCTTCCCCAATCCCATTCCTCCTCCAAACCCGTCTCTCGAAAGCTGGTAGCTGTCGGCGTCGCCATCTCTCTCCTGGCCGCCGCCCTCATCGCCGCCGTCGCCACTTTCCTCCTCCACCACCATCGTACCCACCTCCACCAGCACCACCGCGACTCTTTCTTCAAAAAACAGACCACCCAAGAACCGACAGTCTCCGCCTCTTTCCACCCAACACTGCCACCTCCGATGCCATTTCCGACCCACAGCCTCATCGTAACGTACCGAACAGTTCTGAGTTTCTTTACCTTGGCACGGTGGTGGATTCCAGAGAAGTGAATGAAGACAATGATCACAAAACCAGCAACTCAATCAATGCCTCTGCGTCCTCTGTCTCCGTCTATCAGAGACTGGGTTCGCCGGAGCTCCACCCACTTCCGCCATTACCTCGGCAGAATTATGGAAATGCCAATGTGGCTTCTTTTCAAGATGACGAAGACAACGAAGAAGAGTTTTTCTCACCTAGAGGGTCTTCTTCGGATGACAAAAACAGTCCAAATGTTACTAGATCCGGCTCTAGGAGAGGGTTTGAAGGTCTGGAAGCTGATAATATTGAAAACAGAAGCTCAAATTTGTACCCCTATTCAAATTGTGTTTCTCCAACTCATTCTATGTCTAGTAGTCCTTCTATGATATTGAATTTGAGTCCCGGAAGCTTCAGATCGAAGTCGCCAGACTCGGTTGTTAATTTTCCGGCTCCACCTCGGCCAATACCGCCACCGCCTCCACGGGAACGGAGGGCTCTGTGGCCGTCTCCTCCGGCTTCACCACCGGAGAGAAATTCAGGAGATACCCAGAACTCACCATCCAGAGTTTCAGATTTTTCAATGCAAAATTTACAATCGCCTGTGGGAAAGGAGTGTGTTTCCAGGAAATATATGCCGGTAAAGTTGCCCCCACCACCTCCACCGCCTCCACCACCGCGATTTTGGGAAATTCCGGTTGTGCCGACACGAATTGCAGGGCCTCCTGTGCTTGTAACGCCGTCTAGACCGGTCGGGTTTCAAAATGTAGCAACAATTTTACCGATTGGACAATCACAGAATTTGGAAGCTGGGGATAAAAATGAGGAAACGCCAAAGCCAAAGTTGAAGCCTTTACATTGGGACAAGGTCAGAGCGAGCTCGGATCGGGCAATGGTGTGGGATCAGCTGAAATCTAGTTCTTTTCAGTAAGATTTTGGGTCTAACTTTCACTTTTAATTGATTGATTGTGTTCTTACTTTAGAACTTGTTTTGTTTTTTGCTATTTTGAGTAAGTTAAACATGAAAATTCTGAATTTGTAAAGTGTGAATCTGGTTGATCTAACTTTAAAGTTCTTTTGTGTGTTTGTGAGTGTGTGTAAAGTACTTAATTAACTCGGTTCTTATTTTAGAATGAATTTTTTTTTTTGCTTAATTTAGTATGTCGAACATGCAGTTTGTAAAATTTTCGAATGTGGATTTGGTTCTAGGTTGAATGAGGAAATGATCGAGACATTGTTCATGGTAAATTCTTCAAATTTGGCCTCAAAAGATGGTCCCAGACGTTCGATTCTACCGTCAATTGATCAAGAAAACCGAGTGCTTGATCCTAAGAAGTCTCAGAACATTGCAATTCTGTTGAGAGCTCTTAATGTGACCATTGATGAAGTTTGTGAAGCGCTTTTAGAAGGTAATCTGTTGCCTTTATGCATTGTTTGAAGCATCTATCCCCTTAGCAGTGATAAAATTAATTAGTTGGTGTATTTGATTTATCATATTTATAAGAACTTTGTGTTATTGAACCAACTTGTTTTCAGGAGAGTATGTCACATTGCAGTATTAGAACCTTTTATGGTTGATATATGGTCAGCGATCCATAGTCAGATATGCTTGTGCCACTCGTTTACCAATAATGCTAACTTTTTTTTTTTTTTTGATACTTAATTTGAGGACCTAATGTATTGTGATCATTGGATTAATAGAGGATTTCATTCAATTCTGGAACCCACAGCTAATTTAGTCTGCACAATGTCCTTTTATGAGGTCTCTAAATTAGATCTCAATAGTGTTACTCTTCTTTTAGTTCTTTGTTTGTATTAAACTGGAATTCATGAGACCTATGTAGCAATGTCCTAGTGCCAGTTTGACAGTTGCAATAACAATGCGATTATTGCTTTTTTTTGGATTTTATTCAAATAATCGAGGTGCATTTTCCTTTAACTGACTTTTTTCATTCCCTTTTCACCTTTTTTTAGGCTGTTTGGGTTTGAGTCCAGTGCTGAAATTTTCAGCTCAAAGATGAGTTTTTATTGTTTCTTTTAAAGAACCAAATTCACCCCACTTGCTCTTGGAAGTTAAACTTTCTGAATAAACTGTTTACGGACTTAAGCACTGCTTTTCATTTCGTTGTGTTTTCACCTTTTGGCGAAGGAGGTCTCATCTTTTTCTGTCTCTCTTCTCCGAAAATCAGTCATTTTTAATACTGTGTTTCACATACCTTTCTTTCTACTACAATGCAAACAGGCAATGCTGATACATTAGGGACAGAGCTTCTTGAAAGTTTATTAAAGATGGCTCCTACTAAAGAAGAAGAACAGAAACTGAAGGAGTTCAAAGATGAGACACCATTGAAGCTGGGTCCTGCTGAGAAGTTTCTCAAGGCAGTGCTTGATGTACCTTTTGCATTTAAGAGGGTGGATGCAATGCTTTACATGGCCAATTTTGATTCAGAGGTTGAGTACCTTAAGAGGTCTTTCGATACACTGGAGGCAAGTCTTGCCTTAACATCATTATAATGTTTTATCATCGTTACTATTATTGTTACGATGGCACACATCTTCTCATTATCTTGTTTTGGCTTTGCTATTTCGTTTTTGTTGATCTTCTTGTTAATATGTTGATGGGAGACGGAAATTATTTGAAATTCAATGTCTTTCCTTATCAGTCCTTGGCAACGTTAATATCTATGCCTTTCTACCATTATTGGTAGTCAGGCTCAAGTTACATTTCTGAGTTTCCAATCTGTCTAAGGTTGATCAATGTAAAATGCAGTCAATTTGCTGCTATTTTCTTTGAACTTTAATTTTCTTGCTTTCGGAAATTTCTTTTCCGTGAGTCACTAGTTAGAAAATCAAATTTCATGGCCATAGCGCAGGATGTGGTCGACTATTTATTGAACCTCAGCAGGATACCCTTACTTATAATTGTCATCATGTTTCCAAAACACTTATATTTGATGTCTCATATCACTGCTACTTGTATTTCTCTATTATTACTTTATGTCAGACTCTACTGGCCTTTAATATGAGACATCACATTCATGATTTCTTTGACACGGATCTAAGAATGAAATGCAACAGCATGCAGATTGATTGATGCTATTCAATGTGAGGCAAATTGATCTTCTTCCCAGCTATAATGATTTGGGATATGATGTCTGTGCTTTGTGTTGGAGCATCTAGTTATTGTTCAAGCAATTGAGCTTATTTAGAGGCTCTTGCAGTAAATGGGCCTATTCTAGGCAGTAACCTTACTCTGAATCTAGTGCCATGCAAGTTCAACTAAGAAGTTTCCAATAGAACATATGCAAGAATTTTAGTACTGCAATGTATATGGTGTACCCAAAAATGCCCACACCCCATATGTTTAAGTAATTTGAAATCACTCGGAATTAAGATGGGTTGGCAGATCCACAATATCATGATCTATGCTTATGTTCTTCAAACATTTTTTGTCAGTTGAACGACCATTCAAATGTCAGAGGTAAGGCATGCCTCTGCATTCCCTTGTAGTAATGTGGTGGCTTGCAATATAGTTAATAGGGAGATGAAGGTACCCGCATGTAGCACTGGGTCCCCCCCTCCTTTTTTTTTTTCCTGGGGGAGAGGAGTGGGGTGTGTTTGAGAAATGAAGATGGTAGGCTGGCTTCCCTGCTGTTGCAAGCATTCCTTTCATTTCATGATTTTTCAATTGTAGAAAGATATATACTAATGGCACCAGCTTCCATTCATGGCCACATAACTAATGAGAATCACCTTGTTACAGGCAGCCTGTGAAGAACTGAGGAACAGCCGAATGTTCCTAAAGCTTCTAGAAGCTGTGCTCAAAACTGGGAACCGAATGAATGTTGGAACCAACCGTGGCGATGCCCATGCATTCAAGCTTGACACGCTCCTAAAGCTTGTAGATGTTAAAGGCACTGATGGGAAAACAACTCTCTTGCATTTTGTGGTGCAGGAAATTATCAGAGCAGAAGGTTCTCGTCTTTCCGGTGCCCATCAGAATCCAATGGCCGAAAAAGATCAGCAATCTGCTCTCCGGGATGATGTTGAATTCAGGAAGCTTGGTCTTCAAGTTGTTTCTAGCCTGAGTAGGGAGCTCACTAGTGTAAAGAAAGCTGCTGATATGGACTCAGATATACTTATCAATGAGGTAGTAAAACTATCAATAGGAATGGCTAAGATCGGGGAAGTGATGAAATCAAATGAAGAACTTGAGTTGAGGGAGAGTTGTAGGAGATTTTCAGAGTCAATGAATGGGTTCTTGAAAAAAGCAGAGGCAGAGATTGTCAAGATCCAAGGCCAACAGAGCGTTGCACTCTCCACGGTAAAGGAAATAACAGAGTACTTCCATGGAAACTCAGCTAAGGAAGAAGCTCGTCCGTTCCGGATTTTCATGGTGGTAAGGGACTTCTTGTCTACACTTGATCAGGTATGCAAGGAAGTTGGGAAGATAAACGAGAGAACTATAGTCAGCTCAGGCCGTCAATTCCCACTGCCGGTAAATTCAAACATACCAGCAGTTTTCCCCGGGTTCACAGCAAGGCAGCAATGTAGTTCATCGGATGATGAAAGCTCATCCTCACCATAGCTCCCGATTATTTCATATCAGTTCACCTGTTCTACTTTTCTGCTCCGACTTCCTTTTCCATCACCTTTTTGTACTTGTATAAATCCATGTTGAAGATTTTGTAAATGCTTCATGGTATATGTAATATACTGGGAAGGTAATCTAATTGGGAAATGATATGTTAGTAGTGGAGTCATCTATTATTGGGTGAAATTATATGAAAAAATAATAGAGAGGATCTAGATCAGTAGTAGTGGTGAAGCGACTGAAACTTGCTTTAGATCTGCAAGATTTTGGTATTTGTTTCATGGTGCAGTATGGTTGAAACTTGATAGATTTTTGAGGATGGTGATGTCCAGTGTTAAGGGGAAGTTCCCATAAATTGCTCCCTATTTACTGGTTGTAAAAGGCTGGATCTAGATTTATTCAGTATTTTTTTATATAATGTTATTCAATAGTAGATCATTCATCGTGTATGAGTGAGAGGTTTATATATACATATTGGGTTCCATGTGAACACATGGTATGTAATTTATGTGAAATTATGTGAAAAAGTAATGGAAAGGATTTCAATTTCAGCTAAGGGACGATAGCAAAATTCTAGTTTAAATTGTTTGTTTTAGATTCTATTTAAGGGCTAATTGGCAAAATGTGAAAAAACTTGACAGCTTCAAACAAGAACCTACTAAGACCATTCAAACTCCAACCTAAATTTGAGTAAAAAAAAACGTAAAAACTTTAATTTGATATAGACCTCTCTATAAAATAAATTCAAATTTGAAGAAAGACAAATTCAAATTTAAATGAGTATAGAATATGATCATTAGATGATTTGGTATGAGTTAGGTCTAGCATTAGAAAAAAAATTTATGAGTTTTTTACTCAAATTTAAATTTGACTCTAGAAAAGAATAAGGGTTGGAGATGCTTAATAACTCTTCCTTGGCCTTTTGGTATTATTGGGAAGGGAAATGCTATTTGAATTTTATTTAGGAATTTAATGATGTACAACTATTGGATTGATTGTGAACTCAATCTAACATTAGACCTTACAACTAATCAAATGATTACATTAAAGTCATATCATTAGATTCCTAAATAAGATTTCCAAATAAGGTCTTTATAGCATTGTTCTATTGGAAATGACTCAAAGAAAAGGGAAGAATTAACCAAGTATTTAGTCTAGTTGGGAACCTAAATTTCTTCAGAAACTTTTTTTGCTTTCTTTTTTTCCTGATTACCTAAGGATCCATTAATAGACAGTATGTACCACTTAAATTTATAGTAGATGATCTACTAAAGAGAAAATTTGAAGAAAGAATTTCACTCGTTAATTGACCATCCATGCTTTCCCAACTAAGAGATTAAGGAGTAAAAAAGTAATAAAATAAACGAGAGATTTGCGCCACTGCACAGTTTAGTAGGATCAAATTTACTAACGTCATTTTTTCTCTGCATGCAATGCTTATTTTCGTGACTCGATCCATAACATTCAGACCACTATAAAACAATCAAATGTTACGGCCATGTTCGCTCTATGATCTGCCATTGCATATTTAATGAAAAGTAAAAAACGAATAAAGAAAGAATCAGGTGGCTCCAATCAAAGTGGTTATTTAATCCTCAAAACTGAAGTGGAAATCAGTTTAACATATCATCATTTTCATCTTCAAAAATTCCACAAACTGTAAGTTATGATAATAGAATAATGCTACATTGATCAAATTTTAGTACTAAATTTAGAGTCCAAATGACATGACAGCTGACTATTTTGAATTTTTATTGGGACCCAAATGACATGACACTAAATAAAGAAGGTTAAATCAACTGTTATGTTATTTGAACTCTAAATTTGATCCCAAAATTTTGTCAGGGTAACATTACTCCTGATAATAACCTACAAACAGTCTCAACTCTCAACTGCCCCATTCTTTCAGTTTCCTTTTGGAATCACACCATAATCACAGAGCCGGATCAGTCGTTTGAACTGAACTGTAGTAATATTTCAGTAAGTAGTAGCTTCCATATAGTTATATGCCTCAATCAAAGAAAATGATTAGAGTGTCTCGTGCTTGTTTCCAAACTGAGCTTGCGAACATTGCCTCCAATGTTTTTTTCATCAACTAACAAAGCTATGAGCTCTCAGCGTCCATTCGCTCAATCACCCGCCGTGCTTCCTCCTCTGTAGCAGGGACAACTTTCCGAATCTTCAAACCATTTGTCATGGCATCTGAACGTACAGTGAAAGTGAAGTAGAACTTATTGGATACCTATTCACGTCAAAGAGCATCAAAAAGCCAAAATAAATTCATTAGTAAGTAGTGGTTTGGAATCTCAACAGAGGGAGTAAAAGAAGTAATCGGGAAGGGACCGAATTGAAAAAAAAAAAACACTTTCACTAGGTTTGACAGTTTTTTTGAATACATTTATAGAAGGGTTAATTGTAAATTGCACTCCGGAAGATTGTTCGAATCTTAATTTGCACCTCCAAAAATAAAAAAAAATCTCAATTTGCACCCTTAAAGACAAAAATTTGTATTAATGTGCACCCCCAAAGATAAAAAATCTCAATTTTCACTCTCAAAGATAAAAATTTGTATCAATGTACACCTAAAACTAACCGCCGTCAATTTACTGCCTAAAACTAAAATGATAAATTATATCTAAATCCCTTCATGCTTGTCATTTAATCATTTGGACCCTTTCATATTTAAAATATTACTACTACATCTCATGACGTTTGTGCACGTGTAACACGTAACCCCATTTTGTTAATATTTGTTAATATAACTGTTAAAAAATATGATTTTATCCTAATAAAAAATTATACTTTCATATTACCTTTTATTTTGTAGGTGCGATATATTCTAAAGTTCAAAATCAATTTTACCATTTGAATGTCTAATAGAATGTAAATATTTATATAATTTTTCTTATATCCAATGTAATATAATCTACATTCTATTGGGCATTCAAATAGTAAGTTTGATTTTGAACTTTAGAATATATCGAACCCACAAAATAACAAGTATTATGAAATTATAATTTTTTATTAGGATAAAATCATATTTTTTAACGGTTATATTAACAGATATCAACAAAATGAGTTACGTGTTACACGTGCACAAACGTCATGAAATGTAGCAGTAATATTCTAAATGTGAAAGGGTTCAAATGATTAAGTGACAAGCATGAAAAAATCTAGGTAAAATTTATCAATTTAATTTTAAAGAACAAACTGACGACGGTTAATTTTAGATGCACATTGATACAAATTGAGATTTTTTATCTTTTGGGGTGCACATTGATACAAATTTTTATCTTTGAAATACAAATTGAGATTTTTTATCTTTGGGGGTACAATTTAAGATTCAATCGATCTTTCAGAGTGGAATTTACAATTAACCCTTTATAGAATAAATCTTTTTACACCACTATGAATTTTATATTCATTATTGCAATTGGTTCTTTCCCTTGCAAAATGATGGGGGCAATTGGGAATTACCATATACCAAGTATGCTGAATTTATCGCTTCATATGATGCGGAAAGAAAAGAAATTCACCCACTACATTACGAATTCTCTCGGGTGCGAACTACTGAACACTACAACTAGCTGACGATTGCTGGACAGGCTTTTGTGTGTATGGATTTCTGTTTTTCTTTACTCAAATCGAAAATATTGAGGGTTTAAATTCATTTTAGGTGACTGTCCCCATTTAATTTTCCCATCGACCAACAGGAAGGGAATTACAAGTGCCAGCGCAAAAGATTAAATAATGGCGTCAACTGCTAGGAATAGGGAAAATGGACTAGATTTGTTGTTTATAATGTGAAAGATGCACTCTCACAGTACGATTTTGCTAACCAATTACAACCATTTGATGACTATACAGATGTTGATAGAAGCACATGTAAAAAAAGCAACAATATGGCATCAAATATAAACGACATTGTCCTCACCTCACTGCACCTCAGCTCAGGCCGCGTAACATGAGCTCCAACTTCCACATTGATTAGAGGTTGAGCTGGATTCTCGAGTTCTGTGTACAGGACACATGATTTGAAATGGAGGAAATTTCCAACATCTACCTGCATCATCAAATCAAATGTTGACAACATCAACGTATGTTCAGCTATATAGTTACACCACTGAGAGTAAATTGCTATGTTCTCAACCTTCCTCCCTAATTAAATATAATTTATTTATTAAAATGGTCCATTCATGTTATCATCACCATAATTCTATACTTGAAATCTGAGCTTCCCCAGATCATGGCTATGACAGATCGTACATACTTGTTGAGAGGGACGTGATTGACTATCAAGCCAAAGATAGTGGATCTCAACTCTATGGTTCCTCGGTTTTGCATTAACCTCCACAACCATTGAGGCCTCTACTGGCAGAAGACTTGGTATGGAGACTCTGATTGTAACAATCCAATCCCGAATAAATTACAATAAATTATAAAATAAACAATGGTGGTGTCTATTTATAATTTTTCTAAAATCAATTGAAAGTTGATTTGGGTCGAATTGTAAATCAAGGAAAATTTTAAGGAGGCAAATATTATTATGAGAAAAGTGTGACTGTGAGAAGGTGTTAAGTGTCACCCCAGGTGTCTTTCATGTGCCCAAGGGTTTTTATATTTTATTGTAGTATCAGCGTTATATATTCATATGCACAAATATATTAGTTGTGATTGCATGAATATAAAGAAAACAAAATAAAACAAATCAGATGCTTGACTTAGTCCACAGAAGAAGTGTGTCACATATGAGGTCTATTGTCTTTTGAAGACATAAGAGAAGAAATACTATATTGGATTATGTGACTCGTCTATTTAAAAAGAAAAGAAAAGGTAATACCATTCATCAGGGTCGAAACTAGGATTTTATCTTTTGGGGACCAAGCCTTATGTACATAAACTCATATATATCCATAACATGAACTATATTTATATTCTTCAGATTCAAATGCATAATGTAAGAAAAATATATCGTACAATATATATGTAATATAAACACAGATACCTCATCTTATCGTCGAACAAAGTGGTACTCGGCGTACTTTTCTATCATGGAATTCTTAGTAACTTCTTTTTCTATACACACATAATCTGTGAGAAAATCATTCTCCATTTTGTACCAAAAGTTAGTTTTGGTTATTTTGCTCAAAAAAGCACCGTCTATAGTTGTAGTAGAAATGATCAGTGTTAGCAAAACATTGAACATTCTATCAAAAATTGGATAGGCTTCTGTCATTTACCAATTTTTAATTTTTTTTTTTTAATGAAAGAATCAAAACAGATAATATTATTTTAGTAGTAGGACAATGCAGTATAGAGAAATTTATAGGGGGGAAATATACTCTACAAATGGAGTTCCTATTTAAGCAAGTGTTTTTAAAAGTACCCCTTTGCTATTTTCCGTCACTGCTTGTTATGTTTAAGTCATGATAGGAAGTCTAAAAAGGGCTTCAGGTGTTGTGGAAACACAGAAAGAAAGTAAGGAAGGGGATAGAAATGGAAGAAAAGAAGCTAATGTTCAGATTCTACTGGAATTAATCAAGGTAGTAGGCGCAGGATGAATTCTTATTTTACTTCCAGGTGAGTGTACAGTTTCGTAAGAACTCAAAATAAAATGCATTATGTTCTTTCACATTTGTATTGTGTATGAAATGATTGAGATGAACCGGAATTTTCTCAAATGTTATGAGCAACTATGTTTTGGAAAGTGTGTGATATGAAAGGAGAAGATTTTGGCATAATGTCCCCATCTGCCTTGTAGTGGTATCTAAATACAGAGGTCAGCTGTGAACCCAGACAAAGAATTGTACAAAAGTTGTGAACAGTAACTTTAGGGCTAATTCTGTAATTTGGGAGTGATGTTTTCATGGATTGAATGGGAAAGAAGCAGAGTTTCATAGATGATGTCAGGACATAAGATGAGTAACAGACCTGAGTATGGGGTTTAGAACTTCAATACTTACAGAAAAATAGAAGAAAGATGAAGGAAAAGAGAAGAAGAAACAAGGAATTATTCCTGGGATTTCTTAGGCATCAAATCTAGTGTTTGAATTGCATATCAAAATTCCCAAAGCATATGGTTGTTGAAAACTATGTGGAAAAATTCACTCACGGATTGAAGCATTACGTGGCTATATGCCTCCCAAGTACTTTTTTAGTCCTAAAAAGATTTGGAATCTCAAATAACACATTTTCTAGGAAACCTATATAGACTAGAATAATCTAAAAATTATAAAAATACCTGACTCCAAAAATTATAAAAAACGCGAACAAACTAACTTACAGAATTATAAGTAAGACTCAACTAAAATTATGCGAGGTTTTACGTGTGTCATTGTCTTGATGACAAGTCGAATTCCATAATTGTCCACAGATTCAAATGTGGCTTTTGTTGAGCATCTTATGAACTACTTCACGAGGAAACTCTACTAAGGGAGAAAAAGTCCGATACTGGCTAGAAGGCAAAGTAGAGGAGGTTTTAAGTTGTGGCCTATGAGCAGCTTTAGGCGTCACCCCTACAGGTATTGATATGAGTAGTAGTATATGTACCAAATTATGTTTCATATATTTGCATGAAATACAATGATTATGGGATGTGAAGTGTGAAACGATGTTTTTCTTAAATGAGGAGCTTGATCCTATAACTGTTCTCTCTGTTTTTTATCTCATGAGCTAATTAGCTCACCCTGATTATCCATCAGTTGTATGTTACATGTGGAATGGAGTAGTAAGAAAGGAATGATAAAGAAAATGGAAAGTTAGGCGCACCATTTAATTTATTTAATTTTGTAACAATTGCATATTAACCATCCAAAAGTTGATAAATTGCAAATTAGGCTCCAGAAAGTTGTAGAAATGATATTTTTGTGAATATGTTATATTCTAAAGTTAGTTACATTTAAAAGTTAGGATGACAATCTAAGGGATGGGGAGCAGATAACAGAAACACAGATACTAATTCAATGAATGCGCACAGCGAAAACATTTGCTTTACTAACCAATACAATTTTGGAGATGGAAATTTAAGAGGAGGGGAGTGTGTAACAATTTGATCCTAATGAAATTATAATCATTAACAAAATAAATAATGTTGGAGTCTGCTTATAATTTTTATAAAATCAATTCAAAGTTTATTTGGGCCAAATTAAAATTCATGAAAACTTCAAGGAGGACAATGTTATAATGAGAAATTTGTGAGAAGATGTCGAGTGCCACCCCAAGTGTCTTTCATGTGGCTAGGGTGTCTATATCATAATGATGTATATAAACTACATATTTAATGCATAAATATATTAGCTGTGATTGAATCCATTGACAGAAAAATGAATAATAAAATTAAAAATCAAACGGTGGATGCTTGTGCATCGAAGATGTGTGTCAAATGTGGTGTGTGTTGTCTTTCAGAAGACATAAGACAAGATATATCATGAGTGTGTCATGTTTGTGCTTAAGGAACTGCATGTGTGTGTTCTGAAGACTTGAGCATGAAAAGAGGAAAGAAAGAGAAAGACATGAAAGAAAAAAGCCAACCTCCAGATTTTGTTATTTATTATCTGATGTGCATTGTAGCCGGAGAATGAAGTCTGATTTAGTTTGAGGTGAGTATACAATTTCATAAGGGCTGAAAATGAAATGAGTTATATTCTATGTATATGTAGAGTACATGGGATGATTAGACAAACTGGATTGTTTTTAAGTGTTATGGATCAAGTATGGTTTGGAATGTATATGTGATATGAAATGAGAAGGCTTGACAAAAGGTCACCGTTCGCCCTGAAGTTGGAAGTAATTACGGAGGGTACTCTGCTAAGAGAGACACAGTCAGTAGTCACTATAAGTCAAAGTAGGGGAGGTTTTAAACAATGACCTCAGAGGGGTTTCAAGTTGTGACCCTACAGGTTTGATATGAGTTAGGATGTGTTGGTTATGTTTTACACATTTGCATGAAATCCAATGATTATGCGATGTGAAGAGTAATGCAATGTTTTCTTAAATTACAACTGTCTTCCCAGTTTTCTATTCTTAAGACTCATGTACACTCATGAGTGAATTAGCTCAACCCCACCAATTTTTAGTATTTCTATAACAGGAAAATTAAGCCCAAGAGACAAATATTCTCTCTCCTAGAACGCGACGGCTTGTGCCTGTTGTGACCGTTGAAATACCGGAGGAATTGTTTCAAACGGTCTAAAGTTTTACTTTCCTCCCTTACAATCCCTCTGGGTGATGGACCAGGGCAGAGCCTAGCCCTCGGGGTGAGATATCTGAGCTTGAGTCAAGATTGATAAGGTGTTCCGAAGGAAGGGTCTCCCCCTCATGCAAACAAACATTCATAATACGTTGTCACAATCCCAAGGGTAAAATAACAATCCCAGTGAAGGAAATCAGACAGGACTCATCAACTCATGAACTCAGTAATTCAATCCCGGGAACTGAAATAATATACATGGAAGACTCATGAACTCAGTAAACTATGGAGTTGGCATCTTTTGTCCAACTGACTAGTTCGGTCTCTTTGGATTTGTTGGTCAAAGATAAAAGAGTTTGGTCTCTTGAAACTTCTGGAATTTTTTCTTGTGGTTTCTATTTTCAATATTTAATTGATAATCCTCAATATTCATTCTTTGAACCTCACTTGATGGTTTGGAAGGCTAGAGTGCCTATGGTGAAGGTGCAAATGCTTGCTTAGGTGATTGCTCATGATATTGTGAACACTTGTAACTTGTTGCAAAAGAGAAGGCGTACCATGCTTCTTTCCCCGAATTGGTATATTTTGTAGAAGGAAAGTGGTACAACTATCGATCATTTGTTCTTGCATTGTCATATTGCAATTTTTTTGTGGCAAAAACTTTTGTGGGAGGCAGATTTGCAATGAGTAACACCTCGTGATTGTATATCCTTATTCAATTCTATGGAGAGTGCCTTTTTTGGCTACCTTTTGGGTTGTGTGGATGGAGAGGAATAGCAGAATTTTGAAGGGAAGGAGGAAGAAAAAGAGTTGTTATGGGATAGGGTGAAGTTTTTAGCATCGTTGTGGGTAAAGGTTTCAAATGAGTTAAGTAACATTTTACCAAAATTGGAAAGCCGTTTATAGTTGAAATATCTTTTTGGTTGTCTTAGTTGGTCTTTATGGTATCGAGTAGATTTATAATCCACCATTGAAGTAATTTTTCATCTTTCAATGAAATGAAAGTGTTGTTTCTTATAAAAAAAAAAAAAAATTTTGGGTAGAAATCATGGATTTGGAAATATATTTTATCAATTTTTTTTGGATTACTAGTACTGTGAATTTTATGAAATTGAGTAAAGGCATCACAAGTTTTTCTTCTTCGCTTTAGTTTTTCAAGAATTTTTCCTTCTACTAGAAACAAAAATGTTCATTCATGAGGTGGACTGCTCAAACAAATTCCTAAACCCTTAGCTAATAGGGATTATAAAAACATGATCTACCTCTAAAGTTTTGACCATACTAAGTTAAATCTTGAGTTTTAATCCCCTAGCTTAAATTTTGTTAGGTTATATTTGTAATTGACTAATTTCGTAAAGTCCATAGTAAAATCTCAACCTATTTTATGGTCATGATGCTATCAAGTTCAAGATATCAAAGCGTCATCGAAAGGAAGAGATAAAATGCCAAAATAATATCAGTCAACCTCCATATGCACCTTTATACGTAGGACAAGGTAATGACCTAGACACTAAGATGAACCCTTAGTTATTTTAACTTAGGTTGATTAGGATGAAAATAGAATTGGAAACAATCCAACTATGATTTCTAGGTGATTTTTAAAAAAATAATTTTCTAAACCATTAATGAGTTTTGAAAATATAATTTGAATCACAATTGGACATCTTTGAGTAACACATTTTAGTGCTCAAGAAGACAATTTTTTGTATAGTTTTACGCTTAAAAATATGTAGGAACCAATCTATGCTCACTAGCCTTCGCTAGATTGATATTTTTATGATTTGGGGAAGGAAATAAGAAAAAGTCATAGAAGGCAGCATAGTGTTCGTTCTATAAACTCACTCAAGCGGTCTCCATGGTCGCTCAAGTGGTGTCTATGGTTGATTGAGCGGTTCCTACCTAAATCATATTTGAAACGTTATTTTCACTCTAGCGACAACCGCCATATGACCACCCTCCCACCGATCGAGTGATCGTTTACGAAATTGAGTTTTCTTATTTATTAATACTACTCTTATTCCAGACCTATAAATAGTGAGAGCCTTTCTCACACCTAGATTAAGCTTCTACCTCTTCCACCATAACCTAGATCCCTAAGACCCTAAAGGCTACCACTAGAGATTTTATCCAACCTCACAAATTGGAGTTGAAGGTCTTAATGGTTTGACAAACCCATTGGTATGTGTATACTGAGAATTGTTGCCGTGCCCATAATCGCTTGAGGCCTAGACGAACCGTGCAGTAGGGAAGTGCAAGTGAAACTACATTAGATGTCAAAGGAGATCCTTTGGCAGAGAGACAGAAAGAAAATAAGCATCTAACCATTGTATTAGTTGAGGTATAAGTTTTGAATACTTGTATGTTGACTTAGTGAGTAGTGATTTAGGCTTGGTGAACCGAGAAAGTTCCCTGTCTTTTTCCCGATGATGGTTTTTCGCGTCAACAAATCTCTTATGTTATTTACTATTTATATATTTGTGATTATGAGCAGACACGTTGATGAGTGCGCGAAAGTACATTCTAAATACCCTATTATTAGATTAAAATGTTAAAATGTGAATATAAATAATTAGATATAATTTATATTATTGAATTTAATATCTATTCATACTGAGATAATTTGAGCATGATTTTATAATATTTTAAATCTCAAATATTGCATTATTGGTTAGTGAGAGATACTTTATAATTGGACTTTATACTTAATATTTTTGGAACTTTGTTATTCGGGTTTTATATTTATTTTTTATTTTGATGGCAGTCCATGGAACAAAAAGGTTGAAACTGATATAGCTTTCACGTGGGCCCGACACTCATAATTTTTATTGAACTTTATCTTTCTCAAATTACACAAGATTTGAGCTTTAGGAACTGAAATAAAAAGAGTTGAATCAAGAGAGGCTGAAATAAAAAGGCTAGAATAAAGAGAGGAGGAAAAGGTTATTTTCAAAAGGAAGTTTGACTTTTAAAATCTATTCTTTTCTTTGAAGCTTTGTGTAGTGGCCGGCTTTTGCTTTTCCTTTGGTGTGGCGGTCGGAAGAAAGAAAAAGGCAGAGGAGGCGGCTGCTTCTGGAACAAAAGGCGGACGTAGATGAGAGAGCAAAAAATTCTGATGGCAGCCGGTTTGTTCAATTTTTCTAGGAGATTTTTGTTGTCCATTATATTTATGGATAACTAAATGCTTAGGTTGGACGAGGAATGAACTTGCACAGTAGATGATATTTTATTTATTTTTAATTTATGCATTTGTATTCTAATTAATAAAACTCTTTTGTTTTATCATTTTTAATTTATTGTTGATGTTTTCTTCTTCGAATAATCATAGAATTTATTTTGTTTATGGATTCAGTCATGCTTTTTCTATTAAATGTATTAGCTTTTGGATTATGTTTGGATCAATTATTAATCTATATTGATTTAATTCTTTACTGCAATATTACTTTTTGAGTATATTGTCATCTTTGAATTTTCTCAATAGTGATAATAATATACGTATTTTAAAAGTGATGAATGATTTTTCAAAGGATTACATTTGATTTAATCTTGGTTTATAAATCTATATCTTCCGGTTGGAAATTTTGGAAATTAAATTCTCAATTGAGTTATTAAATGAATTAAGAATAATTAAAATATCAGATTTATGCAAGAGATTCCTGACACTTTACTGTTTGTCAAATTTAATTACTTTTTTTCGTTAGTCACTTTGCTTCATTTTAATTTGCATTTAAAATTAATTTTTGTTCTCCGGTAATCATTAAATATTTTTCTTTAATTTCTTTGTTTCTTCTACTATTCTTTTAATTTGTCTCTCTATGGAATTGACACCTCAAAGCTGTGCTACAATTACCGCATTATTCTTTGAGCGTAATCACACGCGCACTGTGATTGTGGTTTTGATTGATTGAATATCCATCCACTTATAATTGTGCATATTGGGTTTGAGGATTTGGGGTCACTGTGAGATTGATTTTGAGTGAATTAATTCGAGATTAAATAAATCAATCATTACCAGTAAGTTGGGTTGTAATGACTAAAAGGATTCTCACATTCTTTGCTAAATCTTTGTGGGACGAAGTAATTGTGATGGATTAGGTTTTTAATTGGTAATCAATTGAACTTAATTTGAAAAACCCATTCAACACCCCTCTCTACAGTGTGTTGAACTCCACGTGTATAATCATGAGAAAAGATCAACATTAAGTTCCCACTCCCAGAACAACAAATTTCCTGGATTGCCATGAGTCTTATAGATGGCCTCCAATCATAATTATTCAAGGCTATTTAATAGTTTGACTAATTTAAATAAATTCAAGTTCATTAACAATAAGGTTTACATTCTACTCTAGTGCCATTCCTGTTCCATGATCTTCTGTTTCCAGCAACACCGATATCACAAACACAAGGAACTTACTACAAGCTATTACTATGTAAGCATTTATCAAGTATGCCAGAACAAGGTAGTCCCAATATAATGCTCTGGTGTTATTTGCCATCCTTGGGTATTCATAGAAAGGAGAATTGGTGAGGATAACCATAAAAGCTTCCTAAAATCACAGCTGGATTATGAGTTGTCATATTTTTACCCCATATTTTACAAACCTGGTAATGAGGCTTAAATATTTTTTGAAAAACCTAAGTTCTGTAGGATTGATATCTTAATGAGTCATAATATTTAAATCCATAACCTATTTTGTATTTCTGGTAAGTCATAGACTTTAAAATCCTAGAATTTATCAAATCCCATGATATTTAATTCCTGCGAGAAAAGAACACACCCTTTGAATATGATCCAGTGCATTAACCCCTTCTTAATAGGTCCAACACACCTCAATATCCATAAAGCTTGCATTTTCTGTGCTCAGGAGCTATTAGTGGTTCTTTCAATTTTACATTCCTGAACATGATATAAATCATTAGTATGATCAGATAAACCTTAATTCTTGTCCTTAAAGAATAACTCTGGTCATCCTCAAATCTTTGTCCATTGCAATGCACAGCTTAACTACTGAAGTTAGATATTACCAAACATAAATACAACACTGCTATCAAATTCCTCAAAAGCTTAGCCAAAATCTTAAGAGGTCATGAAGCTAAACCATGCCCACTAGAACAAGACACCTAGTGAACAACATACAAATATAAATCATGCTATCATAGTTAATTTTTACTAAGACTATAATTTCAGAGACATGGCTGGGATCCACATTAATAAAACATGGGACATTTCTTCACAGTCAAAAGACATGTAGATTTCACGTGGAATTCCCAACATCAACTCAAAAGCGCCTGCAGCACCAACCAAATGATTGAAAAATCTGTAGTCACAACAATCCGCATCTTGGTTGTATCTTTATTAAGACAACCAACAAACAGAGAATTAACTCCTAATATATTAATAGAAAAGAAAGAACTAGAAAGTTAGACTCAGAGACACCTTGGCCGCATCCAGTGAATGATGGATCCTGGGCATTCAGAACTAAGTACCATACATAATGATAACTCAAATTAGTATATTAGATGCAAGGAAGGTAATGGGGCGACTACTCACAGGTTTTAAGAAATCAACATGATCAACTTCAAGAAAGCCTGGTGCGCTCCCAGCAAAAGCATAGGCTGTTGCAAAAGCCAGTTCAAAAGCCCGTCGCATTAAAAATCCTCCAAAAATCCGACCGTGGATGTTCCTTTGTTGTGGCTGGCAAATCAAAGAGTTCTGAAGGCAAGTATCCCTTATAAGAATGCTATCTCTATCTGCCAAAGCTGGCATATCAGAGAAGACCCTACCTTCAGCCAGCAAAGAGTTTTGCCTATTCACTTCCCCATTCTCAATATCATTTCTCTGTTCTCCCCCCTTCTTTTTTCTCAGTTTGTTCCTTTGTTCTGCTCCTTCCCAAAGCAATTTTTCTCTTTCAGTCTCAGGTGAGATCTGGTTAATCAGAGCCGATTTACCAGTTTTCGAGTCACGGGCTACAAATGTGAAGTTTGCTGTCAGAGCAACTGAGTCAGAGGGATTAGATGTTTCTGCAAAAAATATAAGCAGCAATCTGTGAGACAATAAGGATACAAGTGGTTTTGCCTAGTGTGCATTCTAATACGAGAAATCATTTAAGTCTTTGAATAATTATCCGATAAAGGAATTCCTAGCAGTATATGTGAGATCTGACCTCTACTTCTTAGCATTTCACAAAATAACATTCTTCTTTTTTATTTTCCCAAACGCCAGCTTGTGCTAGTACACACCCAGTTTCCAACTACTCACATTTTAAGAGAACCATTAACCAGATACAGGAGACATCACATCTACACTATGTAATGCTTTACATTTAGTGAGATTAAGTTCTGCTGCAGAGAATAACTTAGTGCCAAATCCAATGAAAACTTAACAAGCTGATCAGCAACTTGTATGCAGACCCTAAAGTAGGGGTGTTCAAATTTCCAACTGGCCACACGTTCCTACCCTACCCGACCCTACCCTACCCTACCCTACCCTAGCTAGCCGCAAAAATCGGGTAGGAATAGGAAGAGTTTTTGATCTTCCGATTAAATCGGGTAGGGATGCGGAATAGCCATCCATTTCTACATTCCTACCCTACCCTATCCGAATTAATTTATATATATATATATATATATATATATATATATATATATATATATATATATATAAACTAAAAAAATCCTAATCGTCTACTGAGTCATTTTAGCGTCTCACACCTCAATCCATTGCTCCTCCTTCAGGCTTCATCGTTCCAGACTTCCAGTCCCAATTCCCAACCAAGTACTCTCTCTCTCTCTCTCTCTCTCTCTCTCTCTCTCTCTCTCTCTCTCTACGCGATCTGTTGTGGTCTGGCTTGGAAGGTCTGGTCGTAGACCTTCATCTACAGTAACAGACCTTCATCTGATCGCAGACCTTCCTCACGAATCGTCTGGCCTGAGTCATGAATTGTCTCGTCTGAGTCGTCTGATCTTAGTTGCAGATCAATCGATTTTTATCTTATGTTGCAGATCACAATGGTCTGGTCTTTTTTCCTATGTTGAAGATCTATGGGTTTTTTATCTGCTTTTACTAGTTTCTTTTTTTGTTTGAATCCATGAAATCATGTTTCGTTTGATTTGTTATTCATGAGATCTTAGGTAATCATATGGGTGTAGTCTAAATTTTACATATGTTGAATGAAATCACCAAATAGATCAAACTAGGAATTACATAACCTAGTAAAATTAATTGCTACAAATAATGATCAAACTAGGAATTACATGAGTGAGATCTGTGAAATATTGTTGGACTCTGAAGGCAAACTCTGCTGCCTTTCTGAGTTATTGTTTCCCTTTTTTTTTTGGTTGCTTTTAGTTCAATCCTTGTTTGCAGAATTGCAATTAAATTGCAATTGATGTTTGACAATTTTAGGAGGGGGAGGGGGAGGGAGCGAAGTCGAAAGACCCAGATTTGTTGCTTTCATTAAGTCTTCTTAGCTAATGTTAGAGTGAAGGAGGTTGAAGGGCCATGATTTTTACATAAGTATCATTGGAGATGTCAACTTCCTTTTTATGAAGGATTTGCATTATTCATATAACATCGTTGATTGAGTATTTTTTTTATCTAGACAATTGCATCTGGCCCCAAAAAGAAAAAGTATCTAACTCCATTATGTTAAGATTCTTTAACATATGTTTCTTCCGAGTTAGACATTAAAAAGTGTCTCCCACCCACCCCTCTCCTCTTTAACATGTGTTTCAATTTATTCTGATTTCTTAGTTCTTATACCATCTCCATATTTTGTTTTTGTTCACAGGTCATTTCTTTATGGATGAAATGACTCCACAATCATCTGCTCAAGCTGATTCTAACGGTAACATCCCAGTTACTGATGACATTCAGTGTGAGGGACAAGATTTAAAAAAATGATCTCGGGTTTGGGAGTATTTTGAAAAGATTGAAGCTACAGATGAAGCTCAATGTCAGCATTGTGGTAAGATTTACAATTATCATACAAGAAAAACAGGTACTTCATCCTTAGTTTATCATTTAGATTGTTGTAAATCTTATTTGACAAGTGTGAATAAGAAGGACACATCTCAATTAAAGTTATTTGTTGCATTCAAAAAGGATGGAGATGGTGTTAGTAGTAACCTTAGTATTGCTAAATTCAATGAAAAGAAAATTAGGAAAACAATTGCTACTATGATTATAGTGGATGAATTGTCGTTCCAGTTTGTTGAAGGAGAAGGATTTAGAGACTTGATAAGGACTGTTGAACCTAGATTTTGTATACCTTCCCGTACCACTGTGATGAGAGATTGTTTGCAATTATATATGGTGGAGAAAGAAAAATTGAAGCATATGTTTGTCTCATCTAGGCAAAGGGTTTGTCTTACTACTGATACATGGACGTTTATTCAAAATCTAACTTGTATGTCCTTAACTGCACATTTTATTGATAAAGATTAGAAGTTACACAAACGAATAATCAATTTTCTGAAAGTTCCTAATCATAAGGGTGCGACAATTGGAAGGAAAATTGAAGCATGCATACTTGCGTGGGGGATAGATAGTATATTTACTGTTACAGTGGATAATACTACTTCTAATGATGGTGCTCTTGATTATTTAAAAAAGCGAACTAAGGATGGAAAGAGCACTATCTTAGAAAATGAATTTATGCATGTTAGGTGTTGTGCACACATTTTGAATCTAATCGTCATGGAGGGTTTGAAAGAAGTGAGCACGTCAATTTTGAAGGTACGAAATGCTGTTAAATATGTGAAGTCTTCTCCTTCAAGACTTGACATGTTTAAGTCATGTGTTGAGAGGCAAAAAATTGGTGAGAAATGTCTTCTTTGCCTTGATGTTCCTACGAGATGGAACTCTACATATTTGATGCACAAAATTGCTGAACAGTACCAAGGTGCATTTGATTTGTTGCAAGAAGATGATGGGCAATTTGTAAATCAATTGAGTGAGAGGGGTGGTTTAGGACCACCCACATTTGATGATTGGGACATTGTTCGTGTGTTTATGAAGTTTTTGAAACTCTTCTATGAAATCACATTGCGCATTTCTAGATCATTGTATACCACATCTAATTTATTTTTTCAAGAACTTTCTACAGTGTATCATCATTTGCAAGGTTATTGTGAAGATGATGACTATCTTTTGAGTACCATGGCTATGAGAATGAAAAGCAAGTATGATAAGTATTGAGGTTATTTAGATAATATTAATTTGATGTTGTTTGTTGCTATTGTACTTGACCCACGCTATAAATTGGATGCTTTAGAATTTTGGCTCAATGACAATTATAAGGTTGAGGATGAAGTAGTTAAGGTTCAAGTAGTTGAAAAGATCAAAAGGGTCATTAACCGGTTATGTCAACAATACACTAGATTTAGAGTGGGGTGTGGAGTGGAGTCAAGTGTTTGACCATGAGAAAAATGTGTCTTCGACTGAGATGTCTATTTAAGAACAAATACCTACAAATTTCATGAATAGGTACCACAAGTATAGGGTTGAGAAAGGTAATGTGAACAACAAATCAGAGTTGGATCGATATTTGATGGAGGATGTTGAATTTGTCAGAGTGCCAATTTTGATATTTTGAATTGGTGAAAAGTTAATTCTTCTAAATTTTCGATTCTTGCCAAAATAGCTCGTAATGTGTTAGCTATTCTCATTTCTATGGTGGCATCAGAATCGACTTTTAGTACTGGGGGTCGTATTTTAGATCCTTTTCGAAGTTGTCTGGCACCCAAAACTGTTGAGGTTCTCATATGTGCACAAAATTGGCTTCAATCGTCATCCATTGCTAATGACTTCGAAGATGTTTTGGAGGATTCAGAAAGTTATAAACTAGATTCAGGTTTCTATACTTTTATTGTTACTTTTTTATTATTTGTTGATGAGTTATTCGTATCTAATTTTTCTCCACTCTTTTTTATCTCAAAAATAACTGCAGAGACAATTGCAATTGCTCTTGAGTGAAGAGAGGTGAATGACACTAATAAAAAAGGTGTTATTTAACTTTTGTATATTTTTTTTAATAATTATAAGAATATTTGTGTGGTATAATTTATATTATACCATTATTATTGTTGTGGATGTTTGCGTTACTAAAATATTGATTTGTTTTTTGTGTAGGTTACATGATTTTGTAGTGAACTGGTGAACTGTCACAGACGGAGAAATTATGATTTTAATGATTTATTGTGTTATTAAATTGGTGCATGTTATTTAATTAAATTATTAAAATGATCTAAAAATTAATAGTTACAAAAGTGTTTACCCGACTTCCTACCCGATTAATCGGGTAGGGTAAGTCAAGAAAAAATTCTTCCGCAAAGTATCGGGTAGGAAGTCGGAAGAGCATATTTCCTACCCGTAGGGTAGGGTGAACACCCCTACCCTAAAGGAATGGCCACAACTACATGGACGAAAATAAATTTGTTGAAAGTTGTAGCAAGATAAGAGAAAACAATAGCATAGTGGATGCAAAGTCATATTGACCAAAAAGAGAAATCATGTCCAAACATGAAATTAAAATCTCAGCAAACACACTAACACCAACAAATTATCCAACTTTCAAATTGTCTAGTGAACAAGTTTTCCTAATAAAAGAACTTCCCCCTAAATCTTTCTAGCTCAGTCCATGGATAACATCTAGGAGCAAACTCAATTATTAAGTTTAACCAATAGCATTTCTATCCATAACAGTTTATGTAGCAAAATCATCTTGCCTTAATATAAAATATTGTTTCCTGAGTACTCATATATGACCGTGGAAAGATGAATCATCCAGGGATGCCAATTTATTGCCAAAACTTCATATTAAAAGTCATTATCATTTACAGAATAATAATTTGTGCTTTCGATGGATGTCAAAATGGTTGAAATGCTCTATGGAAGATCCAATTGTCAACACTCCTTCGCATGTCAAGTAATGTTATGGATAGGTTAGCCACATAATAGCCAATTTAAGACACTTTATTTAACTTCCACTCATGAAAAACTCATGCAATTACAACCACCTTGGGCCTTGTTCTGTATCTTGCTGCATGTCAGATATTTCATCATGATCAACTTGGCAACCAGTGGAATCCTATTAAATTTCTTCTGCAACTTACTCAATGTTGTACACACAATTTACGCTAATCTCATAATTGAATGCCGTTAATTGCCAAGGGGGTTGGAATTTTAATTTCTTTAGGTCTTGAACGACAGGGAAATTCTAGAACTTTTGTCTTTGTTGTCTTCACTCAATTCAGTGGCACTTGTTCCTGGGACAGGGATAAAAGGGTGTGGGTACTTGAGTCATCCAGGGTCTTTTCTTGTAAATCTTACTTCCATGCATTGAATAATAACCCATCTTCTTCAGTTTTTGAACCACATATAAGTGTCTATCAAGGTGCAGATTCTTGCATTGACTGTAGCTCATGGAAAGCTCAATACTTGTGATTTATTGCAAAGGAGAAGACCGAACACTTGTCTTTCTCCCCACTAGTGTGTGATGTGCAAAAGATGGTGTGAAAGTGTGGAAGTGGATCATCGCTTTCTCCAATGGCCAGTGGCCTTGATACTGAGTTATAAAGAGCTTTGGCTTCAGGAGTTTAGTTTGAGTTGGCTTTTCCCAAGAGAATGTGTTGATTTACTTGTGACATCCTATGGACTCTTTGGAAAAAAGAAAAGAGCCTCTATTTTGTGAGAAAGTGTGGTTATTGCTATTTTTTTGGATGGTATGGAAGGAAAGGAATTACAAAATATTTGAGGATAAAGGAGAGTGCGGGGAGATGTTATGTGATAGAAAATTTTCTAGCTTCTCTTTGGGCGTCAATTGTGAACGTGTTTAAGGATGTTTCTTGGCACGCCATCAAGCTAGATTGGATAGCGGCTTGTAGTTAGATTAATTTTCCCTGAGTATTTTACTTGGTTTTTCCCGATGTAATTTTCATTTCTTTTGAGTTTTGTTGTGGACTCCTTGACCATTAAAATGCACCCTACATATTAATTTTAATGAAAGTGTTGTTTCCTCTCAGAATATTAGGAGGAGTGACAGAGTACGATATCTGAAGGGACAAGTATTAGACTCTTGGGACACGGGGTTAAATTCTAGTGCTCATAAGCTGATTATTTGATAAATTGAATCACAAAGCAGGATATGAAGGTTATTTTCCAAGTCATTACATTGCAAGAGATATTAAAGGAAGCCCTAATTCTGTAAGTAAACCAGCTGTGAAGAATGAGATAATGATTTTGCAAAGATAACCTTCGGTGGTCTGAGTCACTTCCAGTTGAATCTCCATGGATGACCGCCCAACCCAGGTAACAGCACCAACTATCTTCACATCAGTGCCAATACGAATTGGTTTCCTCAGAACCATCTTGTCAACAGAAGCAGTGACTAATAAGAGGGGCCTTGTTGTGCTATCATTGCTGGAACAGTGCTGGTTCAAAAATGTAGATAAATAACTCATATTAGCAATGCATAACAAATATAACAAATAATTCGAGTTCTAATTACATGATTGTTTTTTTTTGGGAGGGGGGGTGTTATAAGTTTACAATTACATTATTAGTGATGCTGTCGAAGAATCTCCACAATAGGGCAGAAAACGAATCTAGGAATGTTTCATTGTTAAGGCTTACTTATCACAATTACAAGCTGATAAATAATCTAATAGAATCGTAGAAAATGATGGCCTCAACTGGATAAATCATCTCTAGAAGAGAGTTACGCAAAGTTAGTCCCTGCAACATAGTCCTTTATATATTAAGCATCCAACCACAATTTTGACAATTCAATCTACTCATGGAACCTCGGAGTATAAGTGACCAGGAAAATATAGCAAAAAGCAGACAATAAAGAGGATGCTTTGTCAAAACTCACTGCTAAATTCTTAAACAATACTCTATCCTTGAGCAAGCCAAACAGCAATCGAGGATAAAGACTGACCCATTATTGCAAATCATGAAACCATTTAATAGAAATAGAAACAGATCTTACAGAGGCCAGTTTAAACAATTCCGTTAATCCCAACAAAGCTTCAAAACATACAATTCAAATACATAATAAAACCCATTTAGATGAATCATAAGAGGTGAAACGGCCTTTTCACCTTGAAGGAGATAGTTCCAGCCAGAGCATCAAGATCTTCAAGCAATTTCCCTATCCTGATTTCATTCCAGGGGTTTCTATACTGTTCTCTAAGAATATAATCAGAGGAGAATTTATAAAGAATGCTTGTCCGGCTCTGCGAGGGCGTTTTAGTAATCAACTGAGTCTGTAGTGGAGCATCACCAGTAGCATTGAACTGTCTTTCAAAAATACTTGACCTTGCTTCCCAAAGTGCATTTGTTACAGGTGAATGGTACATTCCGGGCCATAAACTGATAGGCTTTCGAATGGAGGAGCCCGCATCAATGGGTGGAGAGCTTTCAAATGGTGAAGAAGTTATAGTGGAAACGACAGGGATTGAATTGGAAGGAGAGGAGTTTGGTTCCATGGTGTCAATGGGTTTGGGAAATGGGTCTGAAGGTGCGGCTGAAAATGATCTTGCCTGACTGTAATTGAAAAGTACTGGATAATTAGAAGTGGATTTGATGTTGGCTTTTGATTTCTTCTTTGAATCAACCAAGTGGGTATGAAAGAGATCATTGTTTTGGTGTTTTGAAGAGGTGGGTTTTGGTCGGTGTGACGATTTAGGCAAGTGGGTATTGCCAAATTCATCATTTGGGGGATTTGGAGGAGGGACTAGATGAAAAGATATAGATTTGTTTATGGATTTTGGTCCTATTGATGACTCGATGATGTGGGTATCAGTGGGTTCATTGTTTTGGGAATTTAGAGAAGAGAAAGGAGTTTGTGCTGGACCGAGAAAGTGAGAAACTATTGTGTGAAGAGGCAATTTATGGTCACGTTTCAGAGTGTTGCAAGCAATGGAGGTGGCAGATTTCAGGAGGTGATGAGAAGCTGGTGTCCTAGCTGGTTTCATGGTTTAGAATAGAACGTGACATGTGGTTTGGTTTGCTTTTACGGGAATGGAAGGGCCACAAAGGTGTTGATTCTATGTTGCCAGTTGGACAGCAGAATCATATGACTTCTCTGATTATTGATTCATAAGTTTTTTGTATTTTTTTCCCCGAACCAGTGATTTATGAGTTCAGACGAGGTTCTTTGACCGAATGAATCTTCGATGATGCGCCGGCCCGTCAGAATATTCATGTTTTGGGAAAAATTTCATCATAGTCCCCTTTAGATAATTCTATTTCAAGGACACCCCTTTCTTTTTTAAAAAATTTCAGTGCACCCCTACTGTCACTATGAGCAAGTCCAGGAAGCTCGATAAAGAAGAATTTTTAGATATTTTAGATAGGCTCTCCATAAAATTTGACTCAAAGAGGCTATGTATTTTACTGGCTATTTCCCATAACCCATTCTTCCCTTGCTATTTCTGGCGAGCCATAAAACTCGGTATTTCCTCACAAAAGTCATTTTTGCGCCAATTTCGTCCCTCCACAATACCTCAAATTCCTGACTCTCTCTGTGTCATTCATAGAAGTTCCATAATAACCTGATTTTGTCTTCATCATCGCATAGAAGGTTCATCGTTCACCTAGATATGGAGTTCTCTCTCTCTCACTCACACACACACACACACACACAAACGCTATGTATTTATACCACTGAAAACCCATTCAAAAAAAAATCACTGAAATCTCACCGAAAAATCTATCGAAAATCTATTAAAATCCCACAAAAAAAAACCCTCTAAAATCCCACCAAAAACTCATGAAATCCCATGACCAAATCCACTAAAACTAGAAAAATTCTCTAATTTGCATGTTTGGTTTGTCATTCTTTGGATCCAGACGCTGATAACAAATCTGGAAGAAAAATTCTCTGCTTTATTATGTTTTTTTTCAAAGGATTGAGTTTGGATTCGAAATATGCAAATGGGTTTGTGGGTCTGATTAATAGTCAGTTAAAGTTAGTTTAAATAGTTAGTTAAAATAAAGAGTATTGTTAGAGTGAATTAGTAGAAATTACTCTTTAAAATAGATAGTGTAATAAAAAATGTTATTTTGAGTAGCTAAAATAGCTAGTATCCTTGGAGTTGCTCTAACCAACCAAAAAACGCTGATGTCATATAATTTTTGTCTTGAAATACCTATAGACTCTGTTTTCATAGCACATGACTCTTCTTCTTTTTCTTCATCCAAACTTCATCTTCAATAACAATAAATTTATTTGTAATTTTTTCTATCCCAATCTCGAATAATTTATCTTTCTCGTAAGGTTGGGAGCAAGAAAAAATTTAAAAAATTCAAATCACATCATGTTTATTTACATCTATATTACTTTTTATTTTAAAATATCAACTTTTTTTCGCTTATATTTTCTAAAATCACAATTATATCATTCTTATCCCTTAAGATGAAAGCCGAACTTACCCTGAACAAAACCTAAATCATCGACACGTCTCAATGTTCTGTGGTTACCAATCTTTTCTTTGCCTCCTTTCTCTCTTTGCGTATTGACAACTCGGTGAAAAACAAAAGCCAGCTGCCTTTATTTCATTAATGCCTCCCAATTTTCTGTCATTACCAATCCTCTCTTTCTTTCTCTATCTCCTAGCATATTAACAACTCAGTGAAGAACAAACACCCAAATGCTCTCTCTCTTCAGCTTCCCCCTCTCATGACTCGATGAAAGAACATAAATTCGTCTGCCTCTCTTCACCTTCCACATCTCCCTCTATCTCTCTTTAGCACAATAAGCGTCGTTACCACATTGGATGCTTATATTTCTAGATATGATTTATAATAATTTTATATAACCTTGCATATTACACTTCTTTTCAGGATTGATGACAATTGAGCTTGATGGCAAGACAATCAAACTACAATTATAGGATACTATCAGATGGACGATTCTGGACAATCACAATAGGTACTTCACTTACTGACAAATTCTAGATTACTTTATGTTCATTTCTTTCATCTATTGATTAATTATGTGACAAGTACTTTCATTGAGGTCTTTGTGCAAAATGTGAACCAAAAACTTTTTTTTTGTTTTGTGACCAAGATGTATATCTAAAACTATTATGTTGCTTACTTCCCCAATTGGCTTGATGATGCCAAAGGACTACATCGAGTGGATGGATTCTTTTACAATGTGTGGAGGAAGGTGTAACACCCCAAAATCCACCCTAGAAGGCATTACTATCTATAACCATTCATAACATGAGAGCAACTAATGAAATTAAAGAAATTTCATTCGTCATCCATAACAACTAAAGCATCATCCAAAATCAATGTCAAACCATGACGATTACATCCAAAAACTTAAATATTATCTAGCAACGGAATAAATAAATCATTATCCTTAACATTGTCTCATAATTAACCGCCCAGTCTAGAACATAAAGGAAACAACTCTAAACATCCACCTCAGGATCCACATTTCCATCAATTTGAGCTTTTCAATGTACCTGTTCATTAAAGTCGAGTTCTGAGTTCTTCCTCTAAACCATAATTTGACAAAGATGTTGTTTGTAGGGGGTAAGCACTAAGCTTGATAGAAAAATCCTCTCAAACTTGAACAAAATTTTAAAAACATATAAAATAGGTCGGTCTCATCTTACAAAATATTATATATAACATTTAAAATAAAACAGTGATAGTTCATCAGATCTCAAGTTTATATAGTAACGATAAATAAAACGAAGAAACAACACCAACTTTCATACCATAGACCATTACAAACATTGTATCTCGGGTATGCAGTAAGACTTAACATGAATACACATATTGAGAATATCGTGGCCTACACACACACCCAATCCTTTTAAGGATACACAACTTTAGAAATGACGTATACTGATACATCGGCAGTGAAGAATTCAACCCAGGAATAAAATACTAACCCTTAGCCTCCATATCTGTTAGTGAATAGTAATTTGGTTCTCACAAAGCACCAACCCCACTACGAGTGGTAGAAAATTTTCAAACCCACTCGGAGTAAGAAACACATTTACTCATTCTACGATACTCAGTTAACGGTCACTCATTTTCATCAAAACATCCACACAAGAGATACAATACCAAATCAATTTATCAAATCACAGATAAATCAAGAACCATAATCTCACAGGTATTTTTCCAACATAACAACTCAAAAAAATATGCAAGAGATCATCAAGGAATATAATTTTATTGTTCTAACAAAACACCAGAGTTTTTAAATCAAGAAAAATAGAATATCAAGATTAAAAGCTATATTTCTTGAAAACTAGAGTTTTGATAACAAGAACGAAAATTTTTATGGCTATCAAACGATAACCTCATTCAAGACATGATATTATTTGTAAGAAAATCAAGAAACAATGATTTTATAGCACATATATATATATATATATATGATTTAGAATCAAAATATACATATATCTTAACTCTAGCCTCAATGAACGAGTTTAGGAAGAAATCCCTACCTCAATTCTGTAGTTTTGTGTGAAAATCTAATGTATTTAATCCGTTCCAATGTGAGAATCCTCCTTCAATCTTGTGTTTCTCTTCTTCTCTCTTGCTTTCCAAGGTTCTCTAGGGTTGGAACTGATGAAATAGGGCTAAGTGTGAGACCCAATCATGCATTGCATGCATATGAACATAATTTTTTGGCCCAAATTATAATTATGTTAAATTATTAAAGGGTTAATTAAATGAAATCTTCCATAGCCATGATGTGTGTAAGCATGCATTGGGTATGTGAATCCCGTTAGTGAGGTATTGGTGAGACCTATTTATAGAATTTCATATGTGAAAATACTAGTGGATCGATTTCAAAATTATTTAAAAACTCGAGGGGAGGTAAGCGTAATTAACCCATTAACATGGGTCACCTTTACAGGTGTTGGCCTTAAAAAAGAAAAGAAAAGGAAAAAATGTTGTGTGTGTGTGAAGGAAAATATAAAAAGGGTGTGTGTGTGTGTTTAATATAGAAAACAAAGTGTGTGTGTGTGTACCGAAGCCGAGTGTGAGTGAGATGAGCAAGAGAGCAAGGGAAAAAAAATAAAAAGATATAAGTGTGTGGGTCTTTTGAGCCGTGAGCAAGGAAAGTATATAAGACTCAATTTAAGCATGAGTTGTGATCGATTTTATTATATATGTATTTGTATATGTGTAGGCTATTTTAACATGTTTTAAATTAGTGGCTATTTGAATTTAGTCTATGGACTGTTTGGTTAATTTTATTGGGTTGTTTTAGTGTAATTTCAAAACATATTTTTGTGAGTTTAAATTAAGTATATTAAACATAATTGGTGAGTTGTTTTGTGTTAAATTAATGGATTTTTTTAATTTAAATTTTATGAGCTGATTTTGGGTGTAATTAAGTATATTTAGCATAATTAAAGGGCTATTAAGAATAAGTTTCAAATGGATATTAAACTAAAGGTGAGAAAAATGTGAAAAATGGTTATTTGAGATGTTTGGTATGTTTTTCGAGAGCTAGGTTGAAAATAAAAATTATGGGAATGAAATGAGTGGTTTAAAGGCTCAATTAGGGACTGTTTTGCATTGATTAAATGTGTATGTGAATTTAAGTGTAGCAGTTTTAAAAGAAAAGAGCGATAGAGGTTAGAAAGGGGTGTCAGTAATGCCAAAACCCTTATTTTTAAATGTTATTATCACATGTGTGAATTTTAATCCAAATCACCTAAAATTTTACATACATAACTTTTAAATGATGCTTGATATGATAATATGACTTTCGAATACAAATGAGTATAATATCCGGTGCAAACTATATGAAATGCCGGAAGTGCAATTTTTAGGATTTGGAGTCAAAATGTGTCAAATGGGCCGCCAGTCAATGTGGTTGACCTAATTAATCCTAATTATGATTAATGTGAGTGATTTTAGAAATTTGGGGAGAAAATATGATCCCTAAAACAAAAGTGCTAGTGTATGAGTGGATAGTGCGATAACCAGAATTATCGAGGCACTTTGGAGTGCATCATTTTGCATGCATTAATGCATGATTA